TCTATGTAGTTTTCTATAAAGGCATCAAGATGAAAAAATTAGTTTTCTACAAGCTGTATGCACAGTAGGGAAAAAAGTTAGGCTGCATTTTGGCTTATGAAAATATTGTAGTTTTCTTTTTTTTTTTTTTTGAAAATTTGTTCTTCTTTTGAACTACCAACTATAAATAATTTTAGATATATGCAAATTTCTGTGTAGAAAATGAAAACTAGAAAATATTTTTATGTACCAAATGCACGCTCGTTTACCCTTGATACCACTAATCACAAAAGGAAGAAAGTGCGCATACAAATAATTGTTCATTCTTTGGTGGAGAAGGCCTACAAAAATGATTAATTGAAATGTATTAATGGAAACACAATAGCTGTAGTATTGGGATCGTTGTAGCTGAATTGCTTATCCTGGTGTCATTGTTATGAGATTCTTTTTTCAGAACTCTGATCATTAAGTTTTTTTGAGGTTTAAATATCTTTTTTTTCCTCTTTTGGAAAAGATTATGACTACAATAACATATGCTTGAAGGGGTTGCACTTATCTAAAGTTCCAGAAAAATAATTTTCTAAAGCTTGGAGAATCTAAGGAAGATATAAAAATGACATCAGAAGTAAACTTTGAGCTTTCACATTGCTATGTTGATACTGCTAATGACTAGGCATCCTAGAGTCCTTTTGACTTGAAAAATGAGACATTTCAGATGCTGCTATGGTGCAATCTGAACCATTTGGACTCGACTATGGAGATGAAATTGTTCTTTTTCTAAATTCATTATTTCTTTATATACATGGTGTTGTCTGTTTCAGGATGCTAGACAGCGGCCTGATGCCAAGACCCTACTGTCTCATCCTTGGATACAGAATTATAGGCGTGCTTTGCAGTCATCTCTTCGTCATAGTGGAACAATAAGGTAAATGCCTTTTGTAATATATTGTTTTTTCATTTATTGGGATAAGAATTTATACCATTCAACCAGTTATTAGCTCTCAGATGCTCTGTATTGCAGACAGTAATAGTCTGATTTTGTGAAGAATTGATTGATTTGGGCTAACGTTTTAGTTAGTGCTTTTTTACTTGGATTTTCCTGCTGAATTTTGGAGGAGATTTGTTTTTTAGGCAAATGGAAGCAACATTCTCTAACATGTAAGCATATGTTCATTGGTTCTATGCAGATTCATTTCCCCTCTTTTTATGAGTTTTAAATTTGATCACTTTTTCCATCAACTTTCTTTCTTAGTTTGTTTTTATTCGGCAACTTCTTTCTTAGTTTGTAATTTTCCGACCCATGTTATGCACCACCCTTTTAAATTTTCTTTATGTTAAGCCTTTTCTCTTTACTTTGGTGCTTCCCTTGATGTTTCTGTGATCACTTGGCTTTTCTTGCTTGATGTCATTAGATGTTTTTTTCTTTTTAATGAATCTCATTTGAATTTCTCTTGCTTTATATTTAATCTTTTTATCCCGTAATTTGTTTTTAATGTGCATAAACTGGCAAGTCGTTCTGCTTAAAGTGCTTACAGTTTTATTTGTTTACGTACTTTTGCCTTAGGAACGTACAACAAGATGCTTCCATTGATTCAGAAGATGCTAATGAAGAGAATCAGAATTCTGCTGATATCCTTCCTGCAGAGAAAGTTGGAGGAGCTGAAGCAGTGGGGACCTTGTCAACTTTACTCTCTTTATTTTGTAGCAGCTGATGAATATATCCAGTACACATTTGAATTTGATAAGGAAGAAAAAATCTAAAACTTACAAATTGTAGAGTAGTATGTGCTCATTACTTTAGGTTGAAGTGGAATAATTTTAATTTTATGAAATTTCTGATTTGTATCCTTGGATTTCAGGACTCCCAAAAGGAGTTACCATTGGCAGAAGTTGCTGATTTTGGAGAGACTGATAAAGATCATTCTTCGAGCTGTAAGCTTGTGATGCGAAAAGGGAGAATTTGGAAGATGATCTTATTATGTCAGATCAAGTTCCCACCTTAGCTATTCACGAGGAGCCATCTGTACAATCTGGTTCTGGCAGAGTGTTTACCTTGACTGCTCATGGTCCATCAGAGCTTAATGAGAAACTGCACGTGAGTGACAGGGATGAATTATTGATGAACTATGGGGAGGGATCTCCTGAATCAAGAAGGAAAACTGTAGCTTCTAAACAGGGAGGAAAAGGAAATGCTTCCCAGGTTAAGCCAAAATCATACAGTATTGGACAGAAAAGTCAAGACCACAGTCTTCAAAAGGTAAAGTTGCATTACTATCTTTTCAACGGCTCTGCTAGATAATTTATCTGTCATTATTTTTTTTAAAATAAAAAGTGTTAGGTGTATATATTAACAAGATACCAAGAGGGTGCTGTCCATTTACAAAAGATATACAATTGTGTTAAAGAATTTATAACATTCCCAAAATCTTCATCTCCATTAATGTCATGAACCAATAAAATAGACCGAAATAAATCAATTTTACAGACTCTCTTTTCTTACAAAACCCATCCCACCCCAAATCTCATCCTTGACAATACCCGCGATGACCCAATTGATCTCCAGAAGCCTGTAAATTATCATCCACAATTCATAAGCCATAGGGCACCACAAGAGGATGTTGCATGATTCTGCAGCTTTCCTACAAGGTAGCATCTATTTACCATAATTTTGTCTCTTCATCAGCTTGTTAATTGTCAAAATGCATTCCCTACTTGCCTCCCATACAAAGAAAGCACTTATTGGAGATGCTTTCGTTTTCCAAACCTGATGAACCGAGAACTTGAGCACCCGCCCAGTCTCATCATTCACAAGGAACCTATAATAAGACTTGACCGAAGTTACCATTTTGTTTCAGCTTCCATCTGAATTGGTCCGAATTGTTGTTAACCTATTTTGTCACAAGTATGTGCAACAGAATTTCATATTCACTTACTTCCTAGTCATTCAGATTTCTATTCACATTCACAACCCATTCCCTGGTACCATTGTGAACACAATATGCATCCTTGATTACCACATTCTTTGATTGTGCAATGACAAAGATTCTCGGAAATTGCCTCACGAGACTACCCCTATAAATCAATTAATCCTACCAAAATCTGATCCTATTTCCCCTCCCTAGCTTCCAGTGAATGCACTCCTGGAATCTAGGCCAATTCATCTGAATCTTCCTCCACAAACCCATCCCATGCGATCTCCTCACTCTTCTCCCATTCCTTCCATCACCAGTGCTCCCCCACATCGCCTCAATAATCCCCTCCATAATCTGTCCTCTTCAATCATGAACCTCCAAATCCATTTCCCTCGAAGTGCCATGTTCATCTCCAGAAGAGATCATATCCTCAAACCTGATAAATAGGTAATTTGACATTATTGTATTTAACCAAATGGTATCTCCTCCTACCCTCCTCATCGCCTCAAAGGAAATGACACTGTATAACTTCCAGTCTCCTCGCCACATTTACCGGGATCATCAAAGTAGATAAGTAATAAATATGGAGATTGAATAGTGTACTTTTAATTAAAGTGAACCTACCTCCTTAGATAAGAAGTTTCTCTTTCAACCAGTTAATCTTTTTTCAAACAATTCAACCATTGGTTCCCACGTTCTAGTGTCTTCGTACTTGGCCTCCAATGGAACCCCGAGATATTTGATCGAAAGGCTGACAGTTTTGCACCCCATCAACCCCAGCAAGTTGAACCTCATCCCTTTTATCACCAATTCTAACCAATTCAGATTTTTTTAAGTTGATGTTGAACCCTGAAACAACTTGGAAACTCAGGAGCACACATCTTAAGTGCGACAAGATACTCTCCTCAGATTGACAAAAGATTAATGTTTCATCTGGAAAAAAGAGATGTGAGATCTCAACAGTACTATCACCCCTTCCCATTGTAGCATCTCTCACTAACTGGATATCTTTAGCCTTCATCAGCAAGCCATTCAAGGCTCTTATCATGTCCCTTTTGATGTCCTTTTTATTTCCCGAATGATATAGGAAAAATTATGATCAATTTGCCTACTTAGAGACTTGGGGATAAAAACTTAGACACATCTAGGATTTCTGAGATCCCACATCTAAGAAGTCTTAAGCATTGCACTTAGGATCTGATTACATCACAGAATCAAAAATTGAGAAACTCTTAAAGTATTTTATTGAATAATTAAAGTCGTCCCAAAATATAAAATTATAAAAATATATATGGTGCTTCCTTGGTAAAATTTACTAAATAGGATCAAACTAAGAAGTACTAATATTAATTGAACTAGGAATTAATACTAAAAATACAACTAGGGAAATTAAATCTAATAAAAATAAAATGCTAAAGTTATTAAAGCTACAATAATAGACTCCTAACTAGTATAGTGGTTTTATATTTAATAGAATTATGGTTCCTAATCTATTTAGGCAATCTAGAGTTAGTCCATTTTGCATCATCGGTATAAATTTGTAAAATTGCTTGAGATTAGAGGCAGAAAAGTCCTATTTTTCTTGTCCTTCTTTATTATATTATATGTGGGGTTTTTACTGTTGAACACTGTCAGATGTTCATAAATTACCATGTGTTATGGTGGAACAATTTTAAGTTTGTTAGTGCATTTAGAAAATAATTTTGAAGTACGAAGGCACCTAAGTCTTATTGGGAGGTGTACAAGTAACAAAATGTTCATACTAATGCAGATTTCCTAATCTTGTTTTTTCTTCTTGATGATTGCTTTTCTCATTAAAAAATAGTGATTTACATCAGAGCAGCATTCTCTAAACTGGTGCATATGGTACTGAGTATCTGTCAATAATCGAAATCAAATTTCGATAACATAACCTATGATAGTGCCGTTGGTCCATGATTTTCTTCTGAAGTAGGAGTTTGCATTCCTGTTGGTTTGCAATTAAAAGTATCAAATCATTTACAAGCAACATCAAGAAAGACACTACATGATAAGCTGTTGTCCCTTTTACCAATGTCTTTAGTCGTCCTTCTTTTTCAATTGTAGATGTATGTCAGTTGAGGTAGTGAATTGTTTCTCCTCCAGTTATAGTTCAATTTAGAATCTGTTAAACCTAGAAGCGTTTGAAAAGAAAGTCGCTTTACCCGGCGTTGTTGGCATAAAATGTTTATCCTGAATAACCGGTTGGAGTATTTGAGTCGTTCTGTTTCCAGAGCCTTCTCTTATTTAGTCATTAAAAAAAAAACTATTTGACATGCCAGTATGGCGCCAAAAGTTATGCCTCCAACGTAGAAAGTGTCCCTACAAGCCAATTCTTATATGAGCTTGAGAAGCTATCCTTTGTATGATTATGACCTGTAATCCAAAAGTTTAGTGCATCCGCTGAAGTATCTCCACCTATAGTAGAGGGTGCTTCTATCCCTTCAAAAGCTCCACAATTCCTCTCTTTAGCTTTGGGTGCTTCTCCATGCTCTAGACATCTAAAATAGAACTAGACACTGCCGGCAGCGACGTCAACAGGCCTAAAGGTTGAATCCCTCAGTTTCTGGTGCAAGGATAAGAGAAGGAATTGTTGCATTGCAGCATCACCTTTCATTGAATGCAACAGATCACTGTAGCTCTAAACTTTTGTTTGGGGATTGAATGAGAAAATAGCTTTGCAAGTAAAGTAAGGTGAAGGATACTGAAATAAGTGTTGGCTGTGAAATGCTGCAATTGTTTGGAGCATTTTAGCGGTAAAAGAGAGGTAAATGTTATCCTGTTTTTATGAGGAGGGAAGGGAAGTAAAATAAGGGAATAGGTTGTGTATTTTACTTAATGATAATACCAATATGTATTGTCTTGGATTGCATGAGTTCAATGCCTCTAGTAGTTAAGAAAAAATTACGGGTATAAATTGGCACATATAATTCACGACTGCCTAGTCGATTAAACCCAGCATGGTGATCAGACCTTACCAAAATATTAAGGAAAAGGACATTTTTTAGAAACTTTCTTGATTCTGTGCATTTTGTTTTGAAGGGTGAATATTTCGTCATTTGGATATGCTGATGTGCGCGTATGTTTTTCTCGGGAAAATATGACGTAAGACTACATAAATTTGTTACTTGATTATGGCCCTGCTGGTCATTCAAAGAACTTGTCTTTTACTGCTGGCAACTCACATCTCCACTTTAATGGAGACTGAAACATGCGGGTATTAATATTTTCCTGATTTGGTGAATGACCTTATTTGCTAATAAGTTGTTCCTCAATTTGGATGAAAGTAAGAGAAGTCTGCAATTAGGTTTATCGCTAGGAAAGTTCAAATTTTGAAATAGTGGAAAGATGGGGAGAGAGGTTTGGGATAATAGTGTGAAAAGTTCACAAAGGCGGTTACTATGTTGACTTGTGGAAAGTTTGTTTCTCAATTTGGATGGAAAATAAGAGAGGTCTGCAATTAGGTTTATTGCTAGGAAATTCAAATTTGGAAATATTGGAAAGATGGGGAGAGAGGTTTGGAATAATAACATTAAAAGTTCACAAGGAAGTTACTTATGTTGACTCGTGGTCTATATTCAGAGAGATTTATTCACAAAAAGTTCCTGATAAAAAGTATGGTACAGATGTACTTGAACTAGGGCATTTTTTCTTTTATGGGGGTATAGTGGTAATTTTAGTTTTTTTTCCTTTGCCAACTATATAAGGAAAAATCCCTAGCTGTAAGATTATGTTCATTTTGAAAAGTAGGAGGTTTGTCCTGTGGATTTAGGCACATAGCGGAGCTGCATAAAATTCTGTGTTCTCTCTTCTTCGTGAAGACTATAATCTATTGCCTGAGTATATCCCCCACAACTTCTACCCCAGCAGGCTCTTAGTTTGGAAATTAATTTCAGTATTGAGAAACATTTGGGGGAGAGATTTGGAGTGATAATGTGGAAAGTTCTTGATTTTTGTTATCTGTACCTTGACAAGCTCGCAAACAAGGTTAGAAAAATATTCGTTTATTTTTTCTATTTCCTAAAAGCTTTTCATGAACAATCATACTTCTTTTCCAATGGGTTCTTGTTTAGTTCATAAAAGAAGCTTACTGCTGAAATCCTCTAAATTTTTGAGATGGTGGAAAATCTGGCTTTAGGGAGAATGGGGGTTGTTAAGTTTTCAAGAAATTGCGAAAATATCTCTGTACTCCCTAGACACTCACAAGTAAGGTTAGACGTTAAATGCTCGTTTACTTTTCTGCGTTGTAGAAGTCCCAAATAAGGTTAGAAGTTAAGTGCTCTTTTACTTTTCTATATCTTAAAAAAATCTCTCTACATAGTGCAAAATCTCTTTTCTTGGAATTTTTTTGTTTCATAAAGCTGGTTGACCCTGAAATCCTTAGAGGGGGGAAATTGGCTGGTTCTTTTTTTTTTGGGTTGAGGGGGTGGGGTTGAAGAGTTCTCAAAATATCTCAAAGAATCCTTCATTTCCTCATTAAAAACTGCCAAATATGGTTAGAAGTTAGATACTCGTTCTATATCTGCAAAGATTCTCTGTCAAATGTAGGTGCAAGTCCTTTTCCATGAATTTTTATTTTAGTTGTCCCTTAAATGGATGTATGTGGATTCTCTTTTTGAGTGTTGAATGGATCTGTTTACATTTCTTCTCGTCTCGGGCCTGTATGCATTTTTACCACCTGCTGTACTTATTGCACGCTAGAAAGTAGATTCCACATAATATAGAGATCCATCTAAGTGATAGATAAGTTGAGTTCACTTTCCAGATTCCATTCTCTATGTTTTTCTTACTTGAATGGGTTGCCTATGCACACGGAAGGATTTTATGAATTTTTTTCTGCTTTTTAAGGCTGTGAAGGGATTGACAACCTTGGGAGGGAATGAGTTGAGTAGATTTAGTGATCCTCCTGGGGATGCATCCTTGGATGATTTATTTCATCCATTGGATAAAAATCTGGAGGATCGAGCCACTGAGGCTTCAACATCTGCATCGACATCAACTGTTAACCAAGGCAATGCTTCTGTGGCTGAAAGTGAAAAGAACGATCTAGCTACAAAACTGAGAGCTACAATTGCTCAGAAACAATTGGAAAAGGAAATGGGGCAGACAAATGGTGGTGGTGACCTGTTTCGGCTAATGATGGGCGTTCTGAAGGACGATGTGATTGATATTGATGGTTTGGTATGTGTTTGTTGGAAAAAAAGAATTCTTGTCAGAGAGAGGAAAAAAAGATGGTTTCATATGTTTAGTATTTAACTTTATGCGGTTATCATTTGCATAATTATTTCTGACAGCATTGCTATTCTTTTATGTTTTTTGCAGGTTTTTGATGAGAAACTGCCAGCTGAAAACATTTTTCCCCTTCAGGTACGTGGTAGTCTTTTTTTTAAAATCAAAGGTTGACACAAGTTATTTAGCATTGAAATATTCCAGATTTCCTAATTGTATACTTCATAAGTTGATTGTTTTTGTCGTGGAAATGATACTCCTCAGGCGGGATAAGTTTTAATCATTTTAATTTTCTTGTCCTTTCCTGTTTGTCTCCATCAGAAATTTTATTGCCAGTGAAGGCCCTTTTGAAAAATTTCATGCAATGAAATGTGAGAAAGTTCATCTTTAAACCACTATTGTTTGCATGCTACGCCATTTCTTTGGTTGAAATTCCAATATTTCTGATTGGTCTCATGTTTGATATATTAAGTTTTATCCTTGTAATATGTACCTACTAACTTATCTCAACTAGCTTGGATAAAAGAGAAAAAGTATATGCAGTTATGTCCTTTTTTTTCCCCTCTAAAATGTCCTTTCCCAGTTATTCTTTTTATTTTGTTCAGTTGTTCATAGGGTTTTTTTTGCTGTCCTTCTTTCATCCTTCTGTTCCTTAAGATTGATCTGGTCATCTTCATTCTAGAATGCTGTAGATAGTGTTTCCTTCTTTCCCCTTAAACCATAGGAATTTAAAGTTTTATATTTGCTTAGATATGTCTATTGAAGCATCCAAGCACATATTTTGTGGTGGTTTCTTTTTGCAAAAGAAAAAAGGAACAGGTTATTTGATAGGTATTACTGCAAATCTAAGGATTTTAGGACCTGGTTTTAAGTTACATACTAGCAGGATTTTTGGTACGTGTCTCCGCCTCATAGTTCTTACATAAATAGTCTAGGCGAATTGTCAGAAACATGTCTCTCTCTTGTAATTCTTAGCTAAATTTTAGTCAGAAGCATTTCTTATGCATTGCAAGTAATGTTGATATAATGTTGGATATGGCGTTCTATTCAAATATTCATATTTTGTATTTTACTGCTTACAGTTTTATAAACAGTTGTGTATTCTGATGAACTAATGGTCATTTTGAGCGAGATTTCATTTTTAAATAGAAAACGACATTAATCACGAGACACCAAGGGGGTTGTAATCTTTATATAAAAACAGGATATATAGCTATTAGTAAATGACTTTAATAGGATGAGTATCTTCTTCTCTTAATAATATTTATTCTTTTTTTCAATAAGTAAAAGAGTCTAATAGGTTCGATGCGCATCCTCTGGAAAGATGAAACTGCACCATCAAAAGCTCTCCTGTTTCTTTGTCTCCAAATTACCAAAAAGTGACTGCGGAATAAGGTAATGATCCTTTTCCTATTTCGACCTGCCACACTCAAAGCTCCTCTATGGTGGATCCTCCTACCAGACAACTCATATTCAAAAAAGGAGAGGGCTGATTCCTGATTGCCACTTGTCCAAGGTCACTAGAATAAAGAATGTTCAGCTTTTCTTCGTCTTCAATCACGAAAATTTACATTGACTAGAATTTTTTCCTAGTCCTTAAGATTGTCCAACGTAAGAATATTGTCCCAAGCTGCCTCCTTGGCAAGAAACAGGTCTTGTATATGGTCTCTCCATCTCCAAATTTGCCTGCCAAGAAAGCTAATATTGCTCACCATTTTTTCTTCTGGAGAAGTTGCAGTAGTAGGACTTGATACTAGAAGACCAGTTCCTCCTGGGGATTCAATTAGGTTCATCAATTCTGGAGTCGTATCGTTATCATGTATGGCAAAGGACGAGTGTTATAATTCCCTTGATTAGCTCATTTAGAGTAACAGACTTGATAATTGTCTCCTATTGATTTCTCTAGAAAAAAGATGCTTCTTGCTGTGTTCATTTAATCCTTTTAAGTTTGTCACTTTCTGCTGCACAAAAAAATTGTTTTGTGAGAGGGGGGAAAGGGAATAGAATGTCTGATCTGACTCATTTGCATCTGAAATTGTGGTTTTTATCTTTTATCTTATTGTATGACGATGGGCAAGTCTCAAGAATTTGTGTTATGTATTTTCCTGATAGGCTGTTGAGTTTAGCAGATTGGTTGGTTCCTTAAGGGCAGAGGAATCAGAAGATGCAATTGTGTCTGCCTGTCAGAAGCTCATTGCAATCTTTCACCAGCGCCCTGAGCAGAAAATAGTTTTTGTCACTCAACATGGTTTGCTTCCTCTGATGGAATTGCTTGAAGTTCCCAAAACTCGCGTATGTCAACTATTGTTAGGCTGGCATATATCTTTTCTTTTTCCATATAGTATGTAACAGTTAACTTGTTAGAAAGTAATTTAAAAAAAAAACTGTTAGAAATGTCAGTGAACTAATGCTGAGGATATCTTTTTCTTCCTGATTTCAGGTTATCTGTTCTGTACTTCAACTTATAAATCAGATTGTAAAAGATAATCCTGATTTCCAGGAAAATGCCTGTCTAGTTGGCTTGGTAAGTAGTTTGTTCATCCATGATGTCCTTGATGGTGGATATCTAGTTTGGTTGCAACATTATTCTTCAAGCATTTGGTGTTGGATGGATCCCCTCAAAAGAGATTCAGATTTTTAAAATCGGACAAAATTGAATATTCTTTCTCGAGGACTTCTTTCACATTCTTTATGTAATTTTTGGAGAAAAAAAGGAACTAGAAAAAATAGAAGGCATTAAATGTTTGGTGTACTAGTTTTATTGAATGGTTAAACTTGATGGGTGATTCCAATTCAGCGAATGTTGATGTTTTTGATGATGATAATGGTAGAGTTTTTACATTTATTTCCATCAACACGTTTGTTTTTTGGAGAGAATTTTTCACCTTGAAGTTTTTGGGCAAGAGAATTGATCCTAACTTCCCACTCTAAACTTTTCTTTGCTGCATTTTCCAGAATGCTTATATACTGCACTATTATTTAAATCTTGTTCGTTTTATTTATTTCAAATTTTCTTAGCAGATTCCTGTAGTGATGGGCTTTGCGGTACCTGATCGTCCCCGAGAAGTTCGCATGGAATCTGCTTATTTTTTGCAGCAGCTTTGTTTATCAAGGTATTGATTTTTCTCGTTGTTGTTATTACTGGCTTTATCACTTCTGTTAATGGGATTGACATAAGGCTCCTCTGCAGCTCTTTGACATTGCAAATGTTCATAGCTTGCCGTGGAATACCTGTTTTAGTTGGCTTCCTAGAGGCTGATTATGCAAAATACAGGTGTGTACATATATATTCTCTTAATGAATAACGCTAAGTTGGTTCGTGTGACAGATTATAACTTTGGAATAACTAAGAAATGAATTACTACTATTTATAGTTCTGGAAACATGCGCATAGATAGTGTCAAATTCCTCATATATACCGATGTTGGTTCTACTGTTCAGAATAGAACTAGTGTCCTTGCTCTCCAAGCCCAGTTACTTTTTTTCCGTATCTATATCACATTCATTCTAATTCCATTACTGTACTTTTATATTCTTAGAAGCTGAACTTGTTAAACTTTTTCATTCAGGGAAATGGTTCATCTAGCTATTGATGGGATGTGGCAGGTCTTTAAACTTCAGAGATCAACTCCAAGAAATGATTTCTGTCGTATAGCTGCAAAGAATGGCATACTGCTTAGGCTTATCAATACTCTTTATAGCTTGAATGAGGCAACTCGGCTAGCTTCTATAACTGTTGGAGGTGGGCATACAGCAGATGGCTCAGCTCAAAGACCACGTTCTGGTCAGCTGGATACTAGCCATCCTATTTTTCTTCAGAATGAGGGATCACTCTCTGCAAATGATCAACTTGATATCTCTAAAGGTAGGCATGGAATGAGTGATCATTCCTTATCAATTTTGTCCCAGGAAGCTTCACATGGTTCTACCTCACATTCTCAAAGGTCAGATACCAATCAACTGGATATGCGATATCCAGCTTTGGATAATGAAAGACCACGGTCTAGCAGTGCAGCAGTGGATGCATCGGCTGCTGCTAAAGTGCCTGAGCCTACTTTGTTAGAAAAAGTTGGAAGTTTAGCAACAAGGGAACCTTCTTGGGCAGATACAGACCGTAGACAGCAACGGATCTCAACTTCTGCTAATAGAGCGTCTGTAGATAGGCCTCCAAAACTGGCAGATGGCGGGTCAAATGGGTTTTCGGTTGCAATAGGAACTCAGCCAGAACAAGTTCGTCCCCTGCTAAGCTTGTTAGAGAAGGAACCCCCTTCCAGACATTTCTCTGGTCAACTGGAATATGTACGTCATCACCCTGGCTTGGAGAGACACGAAAGCATTCTCCCTTTACTGCATGCAACAAATGAAAAGAAGACAAACGGTGAACTAGATTTTCTGATGGCAGAGTTTGCAGGTAGTTGTTTGAGTATTTGTCATCTCCTAATTTTCAAATTGTGGAATGACAAAATAAGCTTGTGTTTATATCCTGAAAATACTATTATCACTTGATGATGATGAGTTGTATTCTTAAAATATGTATTAATTTCATGAACTTAGTGGCTAACATCTAATTCTGTGTTGCACTGCATGCCAAGAACAAACTTGGCATCCTTTTTTAGTTCAAACAAGGGCTGTGCCTTCTGGGTTTTTAAGACCATCAATCTTTCCTTGAAATGTGAGAGGTGATAAAAGCCAACTGCCCTTGGGTGAAATTTTTGGGCCTGTTCTGTTTATTGGTAAAGTTGTTGGTGGTGCATATAGCCACAACATTTGACCTTATACTCTTCTTATTATGCACAAACCTAAAAAGATTTGGTTTTCAACTTCTCTTCTAAAATTTATTCTGCTTTATTTGCTTTCTTTTGTTTTACAACTTCAGTTTGATATGTGTTCAGCTACATTTTTGTACTTATGGTTGAAAGGGTAAGTACTGGTATTGTCTTGCAGAGGTCTCAGGGCGTGGAAGGGAAAATGGAAATCTTGATTCAGCACCTAGGATTTCACATAAAACAGCAAGTAAGAAGGTGGGACAACTGGCATCAAATGAGGGAGCCGCTTCAACATCTGGAATTATATCTCAGACAGCATCGGGTGTACTGTCTGGTTCTGGTGTTTTAAATGCTAGACCTGGAAGTGCAACATCATCTGGATTACTTTCCCACATGGTCTCAGCATTAAATGCAGATGTTGCCAGGGAATATCTGGAAAAAGTAGCCGATCTTTTACTTGAATTTGCCCAAGCGGATACGACAGTGAAATCTTACATGTGCATCCAAAGCCTGCTTAGCCGTCTTTTCCAGATGTTTAATAGGATAGAACCTCCTATTCTTTTGAAGGTATTTGATTATCTTTCTGTTTGTTTTATGGTTCACATTAGGTGAACTTTTGCTTTCTTTATTGTCTCACAATTTCCTCTGTTGCAGATACTGAAGTGCATTAATCATTTGTCCACGGATCCAAACTGCCTAGAGTATCTTCAGAAAGCAAATGCGATCAAGTACTTGATCCCAAACCTTGAATTGAAAGACGGGCCACTCGTTTATCAAATACATAATGAGGTTTGCCTTCTTAATCTCTATCTTAATAATAGTAAGTAGTTGGACTAATACTATATTTTTGGGCGAAAAGGAAACTTATGCTCATGACCTAAAGGAGTGCCATCCTATTAGAAATTTACACAAAATGGGGGGCCTACTAGATCATCTTATTGGAGATGATGACCCCTTAAACAAAATACACAACCTTTAAAACACAAGGTTTAGAAACAAATATTAGTAATTCTATCGAAAGAAGAGCAAATCCCCAAAAGCTTTATTCGTTTCTTTCCATAAGACCTTATTGATCGCCAGGCTGAAGGAGATAGCCTTTTGTTTGTCTGTTCATCTGCAGAATATTGAGGGCGAAAACCCACAAACTTCTCTGGAATGAATATCTATGTTGGCCAGTGAAGAATTGAATATGGGAAAATTTGGTCCTTTATTGCAATCTTGATCACCTAGGGCACATATATAAAAAGCATAGTTTGGATGCATTATGATGTACTACAAATTAGAGCTGATTTTCTTAGAAATTTTGAAAAAATTACTTAGATATCACACCTGGGTTTGTTAAATGTTATGCCTAGTGTTCAATTGAACCACAAAATCAACTATTGAGACATTGTTGGAGTAGTTTAATTAACTGAATAATGATCCTAAAGGAGGAACCTGATAAGACTTTCGAACAAAAGCTTAATGTTGATGTTCATGATAAGTTGCATGCCTTTGTTAACTAAACTACTTACAAATTATTATCTTCTAGAAGTACGGTACATCGGGCTTCCAGTTGTCTAGGGTTTTCGGTCATCTAGGGCAACTGGTGGTAAGGTGTTTTGTTGAAGGGTGAACGTTGCCTTCCACATTGATGTCAAAGATCGAAGGTCGTCCATCTTAACATACCAGATGGACACATACACTTGCACAACAAACATCCCCATCCCTGGGGGTGGTTGAAATGCTTTCCCATAAGGGAAGATTTTTGGTCATTAAAAGCAAGACCTTTGATATTTGCCTAAAAGAGGAACAAATTGGAAGGCATAAAGGTGAGTGAGAATAGGAGGGTTTTCAGGTATTAATAACGTTTTAGGAGGATGAAGTGGAATAATTGTTGGGTGCATCAAAGGATTTCTACTGGTCAAGAGGTGGGAAGGCATGGGGCCGAATATGAGGGGAATAAGATAACCTGTGGGTGGCACTGGAGGAATAGGAGGGAGAGATTTTTGGTTCTCACAGAAGAGGAGGGGGAGGTGGTGAAATGCATTTTCATGTCGGAAGGGTCACAAGCTGGCGGTTGGTAGAGAATGATGGTTGTGTTGTTCGATTTGGCAGGGAGATAGTGTGAATTAGCAGATAAAGCTAGGAGATTCTTGACGGCCTGACAGATGCAAATGAAGAATCCGGTTGAAAGGCACGGTGAGTCATTGGAACTACTTTGTTGCTTGCCTGTAGGGAGGGGTGGAAATGAAGAGGGAAAATTTTTTTGCAGAGGCTATAAAAGACGGTTCAAGGGAAGGAAATCGGGTAGAAAAAGCGAGATCTGAAACCAGAAATGGCCGAGTTGAATTCAAATTTCAAAACACTATTGTCCAAAAGCAGGAGAGCAGGTTGTTGTGATGAAGTCCAAAGTGCTTTGCTTTTGTTGCTCTGGGAGGAAATTGGATCCAACAGAGCTCTGGTGAAGTGGGCTAAATTTAAATTTAAAAAGAGAAGGTGGGCCAACTAAACATTTCACATGGGCCGAGAAGGGGAAGTAGATTGAGCAGTGGAGCTGAGGAGGTGGGTCAGGAAAACGGGTCTCAGTTTAAAATGGATCTAGAGACTTGTGACCTAAAAAAATGGTTGAAACCCGTGACCAATAGCAGGGGAGAGAGAGAATCTGGATGATCGACAATGACAGGTGAGCGAGTAGGCTAATTCTGATAGCGGAAGG